TATATATATATATATATATATATATATATATATATATATATAAATGTATATATAAATGTATATATATATATAAATGTATATATATATATATATATATATATATATATATATATATATATATATATATATACATAAAAACCTAAACACAGATTTTGGTGTCATTGAAAAAGTTTAGGTGTCATTGAGAGTTTCTTGTTTAAATTAGGTTTTTTTAAAAGGCCAAATTACCCCATTTTTGTATCTTTCAAAAATGATTTTCATTAATATGTTGTGTATTAATAATTTGTTCATTAATATGTTGTGATAAAAGTTTTAAAGCTACATTTCTAAAGTTTACAACTTGTAGAAGTAATTTTTGAATAAAATCTACAAATTTGTAGGTCTTGCATTAGCAAATATATATACATATATATTTTTTTTTATATGGTTTTTTTATATGGTTTTTAAATCGATGTTTTCATTAATTTTCTTTATTAAATATAAAAATAAAAAAAAATAAAAAATTGATTTAATAAATCGAATTATTTTTCCCCAAGTTAAAAAATATGCTTAAAAACGTTAAAGCAAAAAAGGTGCTGGTTTCTATCAGCATTTAATAACTATTAGACAAAAATAATAAAAAAAACAAATTAATGTGTATTTTGATATACTTAAAGTAGTAAAATTATATAAAATTGTTGATAAAATAATTATTTAAACTATTGATAAGTTAGTTTGGTGCAACATTTTATGAAACAAAGATAAAAACCAGGCTGTTTTGTTAAAAAAAAGAGTGGAGCAAAAATTTGCATTAACGGCTTTAACTATCATTTAAATATTTTGGCTTCCACGCAGAGATTTAAAGTAATTTAAATTGAAAAGTGTTTTACGTTGAATGAGCTAATGAGCGAAAGAGCTAATGATCATCTATTCAGAAGATAAATTTAGCGACACGAACTTAATGACAAAACATGTTTTTTAAGAATTGCTAAAAAAAAAGTAAATAAAATAAAAAAAGTAAAACAACCAAAAAAAAAAAAAAAAAATCGCAAAAATATTTTTGTTAAGAAAAAACTAATCGCGAAGGTGTGAAAAGCATTCGCGGTTCGCGATACGCTTAATTCGAGCCCTGTTATATATATATATATATATATATATATATATATATATATATATATATATATATATATATATATATATATATATATATATAGCTAAATTTGAAAACATTTGAAAAATACGCTAAATAAAGTATAAGGTAGTTACGCGAAAAATTGCTTTTAAGATTGTTTACTATAAAAAAAAATTATTTAAATTATCAAATGATATTGTTAAAAAGTGAATTTATTAGAATGAATATAAATGTTTTAAAAAACTTTGTACAATTAAATTTATAAACAACAACGAAAACGATTTTTTTAAAATAAACTTTTTGCAGAATCCATAAATTTAATAGTTTGGAAACATAAAAAGTTTTTTTTTTTTTTTTTTTTTTAATGTTATGTTATGTAAACTTTCTAATAAAATTTATTTACACTAAGCTAAACGTTTTTATGTAAGTTATAAAATGTCGTTAGAGTATTAAAAACTTTTATTTCATAAGTATTTTTTTAATGATGAATGTAATATTTCTAAAACACTTTGTATTGTTACTATAATAAACAACGACGACAGTGAATGCGTTTCAATAAACTTATTTTATATATACTTTTTGATAATTTAAATGTTTATTTTTTATTAAAATAAAGTTGTAATTTTTTTTTTAAGGGTTCGCATTATAAAATAAAAATATTAGAAAAGATCAGAGTTTTATAGTTTGTCGCTTTTAATAGGTTAATAACTTTGTTAGGAGAATTTAAAAAAAATCTTTATTTTTTTCAATATTTAATTAAAGTTATATATATTGTTATTATTTTAATTTGTTTATGTATGCTTTTTTTGATTGATATATAATATAATTAAATAAATAAATTTTTTTCAGCGCTTTTTTAATTATCTAAAAATCTGTGGTCAAGCTTTCAAAAAAAACAATTACATGCGTGGTCAAGATTGGACTAAATAAAAAAAAAGTTATGTTTAGAAAAACCTAAACACAGATTTTAGTGTCATTGAATATATATATATATATATATATATATATATATATATATATATATATATATATATATATATATATATATATATATATATATATATATATATGATATATATATATATATATATATATATATATATATATATATATATATATATATATATATATATATATATATATATATATATATATATATTAAACACAGATTTTAGTGTCATTAAATATATATATATATATATATATATATATATATATATATATATATATATATATATATATATATATATATATTCAATGACACTAAAATCTGTGTTTAGGTTTTTCTAAACATAACATTTTTTATTATTTAGTACATTGACTGTTTTGATGATAACTTTTGTTACAGCTTTATTTATGCAAAAAATTATATTTGTTAAAATATGTATATCATTGAAAATATAAACTGCGAAATTTTAGTATTATAATATATAGTTGTATAATATTTATAATAAAAAGAACACTTTATTATAAATATTATATAACTATATTGTTTATTCTCTTGTAATTTTCATTTTTTATGTTTAGATCGTTCTACTCCTGTGCAACTTACAATAAAACATAAATCTTCTGATAGCATTACAATAGGTTGGAAAAATGACCAGTCACATGTTACTAAATTTTATTCGATATCTTACAAGCTATTAAATAGTTTAAATTTTACATATGTTAATGCTTCTTTTGAGAGTACAAACTACACAATAAGCAACTTAGTTCCATATTCCAATTATACTGTTAATGTAAACCAAGTGTTTGAAGGAGGTGTTAATGGTCAAGTAAGCAGTATTACAGTTGAAACAGATCAGTCAGGTTTTTTTTTATATTAAAAGTTTAACTTTTTTTTTTTTCAGTATTTTTATCAAAAGTTTAGTGTAATATTTTCATAATGAAATGAAGATCATCATTAGGTATTTTGAAGGTCATCAGGTGACCTGGTGTCATCATTAGACGACCTGGTGTCATCATTAGGTTTTTTTTTTTTTTTTTTAGCAGTATTTTTATTAAAAGTTTAATGTACTATTTTCATAATGAAATAAAGGTCATCATTAGGTGTTTTAAAGGTCATCAGGTGACCTGGTGTCATCATTAGATGTTTTGTATTTTTTGGGCTCTATTGTTAGTGTTGTCCAGACAAGTAAATAAATGAAGGGTTAGGGTTAGGGTTAGGGTGCATTTGAAATTGTGCATATGAAAATAAATGCAAGATAATATAACATAAAAATTCATAGTAAACAGTAATAATATAAAAATCAGCAGATAAATAATATATAAATGAATATTGCAATAACACTAACTAAATACTGTAACAAAGCCAGATAAATTTAAGCTAAATAAGTGGTTAAAAATTTGTGATAGATATAGGCCTCAGCAGGAAGTGAAATTTTTAGCTTTCGCGCTCTCTTTTTACATATATGTATATATATATATATATATATATATATATATATATATATATATATATATATATATATATATATATATATATATATATATATAATACATATATACATATATACATATATATACATATACATATACATATACATATATATATATATATATATATATATATATATATATATATATATATATATATATATATATATATATATATATATATATATATATATATATATATATATATATATATATATATATATATATATAAAGATTAAAAAACCATTTCAATCTTTGTTTTAACATTTGTATTTTTTTTCATTTTTATTTAATATGTTTGAAAAGATAAACATTTTTCATAAAAAATACATAATTATATGAATTAAAAAAAAAAGCAGTTTATTAATACTTATTTTAAAAATTAATTAGAAGTGTATTGTTACTTTATTGAAAATGTTTTGATAATATAAAAGCATTTAAGATCAAACTTATTTAACTGTAACCGCTTTCTAAAACTTTTTTTTTTCAACAAAATTTTGTTTATCTTTTTAAATGTATTAACTTTAATTATTCTTATTTTAAAATTCGATAAAGAGACTTTCATAGTCGTAGAATGTCATCGTTTATAAAAACATAACAGTTTTTTATTTTTTTATAACGTTTATTTTAGGAATGCACAGTTGAAAAATTTATATATTATAAATTAAAAAGATATACACAACTGTTAATTATATTTTTTAAAAAAACCATTATCAGTGAGTTGTTACTTTATTTAAAAGCGTTTCGCTAATATAAAAACATTTGTTTAGAAGTTTTGATGTAATTAATTTCACTTTTTTAGAATATTTTTCATTTAGCACATTTTTAAAATGTTTTTTGAATTAGCTGCAGTCAAATCGTCATAGCAAAATGTAATTTGCCTGGTCATATAAAGATGCCTTCCTGTGAAAGCGAGAGATAAAGAGTCGATCTCCGCAAATATTTTTAGTATCATACAATGTAACCAGCATATATACTAATCTTATACTTCAAGAAATTAATGAAATTGCAGTTAATTTAGTTTTTCTCCATAATAAAAACATTAAAATTACTAAAAATGATTTAAAAAGATTATTCCAATTTCCCACTTTGCAAACAGACTTTCTTTTTAAAGGACAAACTTATGATCAAATCGATGGTGTATCAATGGGTTCTCCACTGGCACCTGTTCTTGCCAATTAGATATATAAATAGTAGACACAATTCCATTTCTTTTATTATGGAGGAAGAAATAAATTTAAAAATATCTTTTTTAGACGTACCTCTACACAAAATTCTTCAGTTATCACTACTGTTTTTCATAAAAAAGCTTATTTTGGTTTTCACACTAATTTTTATTGTTTCATTCCATTTTCATACAGAGTTAGTCTAATCAAATGCTTAATCGATAGAACATTTAAAATTAATAGTACTAAACATGGGTTTCACTCTGGCATAAGCTGAATATTACAAGAGGGACAAAAAGTCTCACATCTACAAGCATCTCCATGCTAATAAAAATTGTGACACAAGTGTGGAACTAGTGACACAAAGTGTGGAACTATGGGTGAATAGTTTTAACACATAAAAAAATGAGTTGATTAACCCTAACAAAAATTTTCATTATCATAATGGAAACACTTTATACAATAAAGATTATGTAGCTAAAATCCATTCAACTGAAGAGTTAGCAGAAGCTGCTGCTGTATATGCAAAATCAAGTCCTAAAAAATCAGTTTTGTGAATCAGTATTAAAATATTTTACGCAATACGTAAACCAAAAAAAAGTTATAAACATCAGCCATGTTTATCACTTTTTTATGATGTCTGCAGATCAAGCTTTGTCACTTAAAGTTTATTATGGTTTGAGTGATTTGCAATATAAATATATTCGAAACTCAACTCTGATGCAAAATGCTGACTATAAAATTTATCCCACTAAAAACAATCCTAAAATCAAAAGTAGATTGTTATCTAGAGGGTTTGGATATTACAGAAACATCTGCAAAGTGTAGTTTACAGAGCATGATTATCCCTACTTTATCCTGAATTTTGAAACTAAATTCTGAACAGCTTCAGAATTTAGATGAAACTGGACAAGTGTAGTATTTAATTTGAAATGTGGCATGGAATAGGCATCTTCAAAAAGTATTTACAATCAAAGATTTAATGATACTGATCTTGCTACTTGAATGCAGAATGAACAATCTGTATTTCAAACTGCAGTAGTTCTTTTGAAGTTAAGAATATAAACATCTGGAATAATCCAAAACTATACAGCCCTCATTTCTGTAGATGTTTTCAACTACGATACCAAAAGGAAACAAATGAACTCATTGCAGAAGAAGAATTAAGTCTTAAAAAACAAATTGAAAATCTTAAGGATTATATTTTAAATCTAAATCTATTTAGTAATGAAAAGCATGGTTTCATAAAAATTAAAATTGTCAATGACTTAACTATGGTTGATGGAATATGGGTGTAATATAAATATGGAATATGTAATAGCCTCTATACCTGTTTGGATTTAGTAGGTTAAGTAAGATGCACATTTATGCATATATAATATAGATATATATGGATATAAACATATATGTTTGCTATTTATGTAGATGGAAAATATTACAACATACTAAATTCCTAATTTTATATAAACATGTTTATATAAACTTTAATATTTATATGTTGTAGTATTGTTGAAAAAGAAGATTGACTTGTGGTATGACTCTAACAAGACAAGAATAGGAGCCATAATCTTAAAAATAGATTGAAAAATTTTTGTATCAAACACCATTTGTCAGAGAAGATTAAAGTAGTTTCGGTATTAACATATAGAGAGGTAGCAGCTTAAAGTAGTTTCCGTATTAACATATAGAGAGGTAGCAGCTTAAAGTAGTTTCGGTATTAGCATATAGAGAGGTAGCAGTTTAAGGTAAAAATGGAAGAGATAGAAGTAAGAAATCTTGGAGAGGGTTTGTTACATAATTTGTATGAACAAACTTCAGCTGAGGAAAGAAGATGGTTTAGTTAAGGAAAGAAGATTATTTATATTAGAACAACCGCATAAAATAAAAAGACTAAAGTTTGATGATGGTGATGATGATTATTGATCATGATTATGTTTACATATCAATATACATGCATATTTATATAAAATATAACATGAGTTTAGAATAAAAAATTATACTTTAGGATGTATGATTCTTTATGTAGGTCCAGTCACAAACCTGGCCCCTTTTTTAGGTAATTTTTATCAAACCTGGCCCCGGCCAAATTTCAAACCCCATTGCTTTCTACTATTTTCCCAGTATCATCTATCATCTTTCTTGTTTCTATTATTAGAACCTTTGAGTCTTTAATCGATAAATTTCTAACACCCTTTAAACCCTTCTAACACCCTTTAAACCCTTCTAACACCCATTTGACTTTAATAACTTGTTCTCTGATAATCAATACTGTTTTTGATTTTTTTTGCATCATATATTTGTCCTTTCATGCTCTAAAAACTTTTATTCAGCTAGTTTTTTTTTCTATGCATATCAATGCTTTGGAACTATTCCTATTTTGTATTTATAAATGCTTTATTTGATTGTAACCTAGTACTTTTCAAACTTTACAGTGGAAAAGAACTTCAACTTTAAAAACAGTAATAGCCATGTTTCTTTCTTATTTTTATAAAAATGGTCAAATGCTAAAATTAACAGCTAAAGGTGAGCAAATTGCAATTATTCAAGAAATGTTTACCTTTCTAAGTGGGTTTACTTTTGTATTTTTTTCGTATTAAGTATATTAAAAAAAACTCTAATAAAAAAAGAGTGATTTTAAAGTTTAATTTTTATGCTCCTGGATCCTACATTCTGTTAATGGACCCAAGAATCTGGTTAATTAATCAAAGCCCAACATACAAAAAAAAAAAGATTACTTATATAGTTGTTTTTATTTAAAAACTTTGGCATATAAAGTTCACCGAATGGTCACACATGAGCAGTGAATGCCTGAGGGAAGAAATGAAGTACATTAGAATAAAGGAGAATTGTTTATTGAACAAAGCATATTTTGACAGTTGTCAAGATAAAAATAAAGATTAATAGAGAAATATTTAAAAATAAATAAGACAGACAATGCACCTAAAACAGTACTTAACAATAATAATAATAATTACAAAAAAATAAAAAATAAAAATTGTTTTATAAACACCAGCATGAACAAAGATATACAACAAATATATAACCAAACAAAAACTTATAAAACAAAATATTGATTACAAAATAAAAAGTATGCTAACAACAATGGAAGGACTCAGAATGGAAAAAGAACATTAATGTTAATGTGTAAACATAATTTGTGTAAACATAATTAGTGATTAAGTAATAAACATCTCCTCAGAGTCGCGTCTATTATTACTGGCATTTCGATGAGGATCAGCATTTATAACTAGTTTATCCCGTCAAACAAACGTCATCGCTACTTATGCTTTACCCCATGACTTACGCCTTATCCATGCTGCAGTAAAAAAAGGCTCACTACAAATAGCCAAAACCCAACCATACCCAATTTGTAAAACACTAATATTTTTTTATGATATGATGTAAAAAGTGTAGATCTACTTTACAATATAAATAAAAAAAACTAAATAAATCACTTACCATACCACTGAAAGAAAACATGAAAACATAACAAATTAAAATTCTAATAGAAACATAAAAATGTTAACAAATTTATTTTAAGATATAAAACCAAATAGGTATTTTTTTTTTTTTTTTAATTTTAATTCACCTCCTCAAGGTCGAGAAGGCCACTACAGACGAGGAGGCTACTTATTTGTGGCTATAACCCTCTCTCAACTCTATAACTCCGAAACACGAACCTTGACAAACAAGGCCGCTGCGCGGAGAAACGAGTTGAGCGCGGTACTACCAGGGTATTATTAGCATAAGCAAGCCAAAGATAAGCAGAAAGCAGATCCAACATTCTGTTAATGGACCCAAGAATCTGGTTAATCAATCAAAGCCCAGCATACAAAAAAAATACTTATATACTTGTTTTTAAATACCCTTTTAAATTAGTATTAAGTAATTCTGTATTTACTTTAGTTTTTACTTAACTTGTTATTGTTCCAAAGTTTAATTTTTTTTTCAAAAAAGCTCGTAAAAGGCATTTTCAATTTTTTCTTTGAGGCCTTTTTAACCCATATAAATGTTTCACAATAAATGAGATTTGTAGGCAAAATATGTAAAATGTTTTACTAGAATAGCCAGCCTGATTGTAAACGTCTGGTTAGCGCTTTTGTTTGTTACTTAAAAAAAGCAACAAACAAAAAGAATTTAGAATCATTAAAAGTTTAGAATCACCAATAAAACAAAGAACAAAAAGTTTGTTGCTTTTTTTGTTCGTTGGTTTTGTGCATTGGTGATTCTTATGGTGATTTTTTGTTCGTTGGTTTTGTGCATTGGTAATTCTTATGGTGATTTTTTGTTCGTTGGTTTTGTGTATTGGTGAAACTGATAAGACTGCATAATAGAAATAATTTTGTTTATAAAGTTGTAATTTTTGTGTTTTATATAATTTTTATATTTACACTTTCTTTCTTTGTTTCAGCTCCAGATGCACCAGAATATCTTGAAGTAAAAAAATCATCCACATCTATCATTGTGGAGTGGAAAAGACCGAAAGTTTTAAATGGAGTTATCACAAAAGTTCTTCTCATTTATATGTTTAACATTAGTAACAATTTAAGTAATATCACTAAAAAAGAAATAAATGATTCTTCTCCATACGAAATAGTTGGTTTGCTTCCTAATACATTGTATAAAATCAGTATAAAATACAAAACAGTAGTTTATGGAAATGCAGCTACCATATTTGCTAAAACTGAATTTGGAGGTTTGTATTTTTTGACACAATAAAATACAAAAGCATAAATACAAATCAACAACAAAAACAGCAACAATAACAAAAAATTGTAAAAAGACTTTAAAATTTCTATTTTATTTTAGGTAATTTATCAGTTAATACTTATAATGTGGTTGGAGGAAATATTTATTAACAGTTTAGAGGCAATATTTTTATAAGGTTCTATGAATTATTTACAATCAAAAAGATAGTTACCTACAGCTAAGTTTCTATATTGTTGGACATACATTATACACGTCTAAAATATGTATTAAGACATTGATATCTTTGTTAGACTAAAACATTTTTATTATTATCAGGTCTTATACTGTGTTATATAAGCTACAATATATAGAGCTTGTATTATGTTAAATGGAGTTGAGTTGATAATACCTTTTATGGCATTATCAACAATGCTTCATTCAACTTTTGGGATGAAGGCAGACTACATCTTGTTGAGACATGTTTGGTTTCTGTCTCTTCAATGGTGGTAGCTACCAGAATTTTTTTTTAACTATTGTAAAAAAAGTTTTTTTCACTTTTTAAAATTTAAACAAAACAATAAAACATTATACTTTTTTTTTTTTTTAACATCTTCGCTTCCAACAAGGCTGCAAGCAACCACTAATTAGTGTTGGAAGTTACTGGAAGAGAAAAGATGAAGGTTGTAGAGCAAGATAACGATTGACAGATGACTTAAAAGATTGCAAATTATATGAATCAGGAAAGAAAGATGAAGGAAGCGAATTCCAAAGAACTGATGTGCGAGGAAAAAAACTAGACAAATAAGAGTTTTTGGAGCACTTAGGAACAGTAACAGAAAAAGGATGAGACTTCATTGAATGATGAGTAACACAAGAATGAATTTTAGTAGATGGCACAAGAGACGCTAAAAAGAAAAAAAACTTTTTTTTTTTTTTTAAAGGGACTACCAAGTCCCAAGACATGTTGTGTTCATATTAAAGAGAATATTAAAAAAAAAAAAGTCTGAACAAATTTTTTTGATTAAAACAAATTAATAAATGTATACCAAGAAAAACAAATCTTGTCGTTTTAGTCGAAGCTCGTCTTCTCCTTTTTCTCTGGATTTTGAGTATGTAAAATAAACGCGATTTTCCAGGCGCATTATACAGACTTGATAATTTATTCAAGCGTGTTTAATTCATAGGAGTTTTAGTGCATGACGTCATAGATTTTTTTTTTTGTTTGTTTAAAACACCGATTGTTATTTTTTACATACAATTTTCAAATCATATTCATTTTTATTATATTTTAAAGTTCTAAAATGTGTTTGTAAAACAAAATTAAAAACAAAATAAAATTAAAAACAAAATAAAAATAAAAACAAAAATTAAATAAAAAACAAAATAGTATTTTATTTGCGCAAACAAATAAAATACTATTTTGTAGTATTTTATTTGTTTTTTGAACCAATAGAATTTGTTTGAACAAACTAATTCTATTGGTTCAAAAAACACGCTGACTAAGCGAAATAAAGTTATAGAGTATTCTGTTGAAATGTTTTAGGAATTGTGTTATTTACGGTTTGTTGCGTTTTGAGATATCTAGCATAAATTTTTTTAAGAATATATTATCAAATGAACTATTACTTTAATATTATGGCTTATCACCACATCTGTAAAGTTATAAAACTTTTAAACTATTATCATTTGTTTACAAAAATAAACGTTTTATAATATATCTTTTTTAAATTGTCAAAATTTTAAAAGTTAATTACAAATTACATATTTTATTAGTATATTCTTAATTTTTATATCTTTTCTTAGTGCTTGGTTTAATTAATTGTTCGTTAGATTTGTAAAAAACTAACGAACAATTAATAAAATAAACTTTTAATAAAATAAGTAACTATAGTTAGCTATTTGAGTAAAATTTAATAGTAAAATTTTTAAAGAATTTCTAGAATGTTTCCAATGACGTCATGCTCTAAAACTCCTATGAATTAAACGCGCTCGAATAAATTATCAAGTCTGTATAATGCGCCTAGAAAATCGCGTTTATTTTACATACTCAAAATACCAGAAAAAACAGAGAAGACGAGCTTCGACTAAAACAACAACATTTGTTTTTCTTGGTATACATTTATTAATTAGTTTTAATCAAAAAAAATTTGCTTAGACGTTTTTTTTTAACATTCTCTTTAATATGAACACAACATGTCTCGGGACTTGGTAGTCCCTTTAAATACTACTTCTTAAAAAAAGTTTTAAAAAAAAAAACTTAAAAAGTTTAAAATGGAATAAATATTAAAATGTATTTTTTATCTCGATTTCAATTATCAACTACTACCACTGTTAATTGATTATTTTTCAATCACAATGTTTACTTTATAATGTTTAATTATATTTATTTTAAAATATTTATATATATATATATATATATATATATATATATATATATATATATATATATATATATATATATATATATATATATATATATATATATATATATATATATATATACATATATATATACACACATTTTAAATTGTTTATCAAATGTTTACTTTAATCCTGATGGTAGTTTTAACATAAATATTTTTTAAAATATTTTTAAAATACAGAATTACTTTAATATAAATGTGTTCAGAAAGAAAGATAAACAACAAGAACAAAAAAGAGATTTTAAAGTATTTAAATTTTTAAATACTTTAATTTTTAAATACCTCATATTTATAGAATATTTTAATTTCAGATGTTTTAATTACAGAATTTCAAGTTCTTTAACAAGTAAATAATGAATTAATTCTTATTTTTAGAGCCTCAAATAGCACCTGAAGGGTTTTCAATTTATAATCGAACAGCTTCAACAGTTTATCTCAAATGGCAAGAAGTTCCTCTGTATTTGAGTGGAGGAGGTCTTACTGGTTACTCTCTTGTTTTCCAACCATTCAAAACTTTATTTGTTAACACCTCTTTTTCTTTTCTTATTGAAAATGAAATAGGAACTTTAGCGACAAATTTAAATCCTTTTACTAACTATTCTGTTATATTGAGAGCTGTCACTAATCAATTTAAAGGACCACCTGCTCAGCTATCGTTTTCTACACTCGAAGGAGGTGAATTTTTTTTATTTTACAATTTTACTTTATATTACTTACATTTTTACTACTGCATTTCTTTTAAATATTTTTAGATATAAAGATTTTTTTTTTTGTTGCTTTTTTCAAAGATAAATAAGTGAAAAATAATTTTTCTTTTTCTTATTTTATCTAATTTAATTATATATATTTTTTGATTTATATGGAAATGTTAACAATGAATTTTCTTTAAAAAGCAAACAGAAATTTTTATCACTTAAATAATGACATTAGAAAAGAATAATTCATTTTTTTTCAAGGTACACCATGAAACAATAAAGGTGCAAAAGTTTATCATTTAAACTCAAAATTTTGATGTAAAATAATGGCCTGGGCTTTTAGTATTGATTAGGGTGTACCGGATTGTAAATTTTGAATTCCGGCAGGAACTGGATTTGCTAGAATTGTTAAGAAAATTCTTGTTTCAGCCAGAGTTCGGGCCGGAACGAGATTTATATTTATGTAGTTTTTACCTTCAAGATTAAAAGTGAAAGCCTGGATGTCAGCATCGTGGCTACATAATATATTTGTAACCTATAATATAATAATCTATAATACATTTTTGATGAAAAAAGAATTTGTTTGTTGCCCAAAACTGCATAATATTGTGCTGCAACACTTTTTGCACCACAATATTCCTAAACTTTTAGTAATCTTTACAAAAGTGATTACTGCAAATAAAATGAGGTAAAGCTTCAGATAGCGGTCTAAAATAATTTTATTTTATCGCTTGTTGCAGCTTTCATGTGGAGACTTGTCAGGGGTAGCCAGGCTTTTATGGATACAGGCAAAAGTTAAAAACAATTTTGCAGGCAAAATATATTTATTTCTATGAAAATATAGATGGCTAATAACTATTATAATCATTTGTATCAAAGCAATATATTTATTAAGAATGGTGAACTTGAACGTCTGAAACTAGTGTTTTGATGTCTGGATTGATTTTTGAGTTAGAAGTATCAAATTACCAAGATGGTTGTCTCCTAAATATCCAAATTATTTTTTGAATATATATATATATATATATATATATATATATATATATATATATATATATATATATACAGGGTTCAAAGTAAGCGTCGGACATCGGACATTGTCCAGCACTTGTCTGGTAAAAAATGACATCTATCGGTCATTTTGTCTGAAATTTTTTATTTGCATTTCTTTTCTAATCATTTTCTAATCAAATTTATAGATAAGTATTTATTATCTTTTTTCTCCGATAATTTATATAAATTTCAAACAAACTCTTTAGCTTTTAAAACCTCTTTTAAATTTAGTTTTATAAAAATTTTAACATGATAGATATTTTATTAATTTAATAGTTACGCTTTATAGAAACCAGTACTTTTTATTACACTATTAAATTTGAGTTGTAACACAAATTTTGTTTTTGTTCCAGAAAAGTTTACTATTAAAAGTATTATAAAATTAATCCTAGACAAGGTTTGAAAAGATTTATAAAAAAGTACATATTTATATAAATGTAATTACGTATAATATTCTTGATAATTTAAATGAGTTTATTTTATACATTATAGTTAATTTGTTACTTTATTTCATAAAGCATTATAGTTTTTATATATTTAAATAGTAATTTATGTATTTAATAATTTTGTATTTTTATTATACATTTTTATTACATATTTAAATATGCATGTAATAATTACATAGTTTATGTATTTAATATATTTACGTAATAATTTATTTATTCAATAATTTACAAAGCATTTTGCATAGTATAGTATTTTAAAAAAATGTCCATTTCAAATTTTAGTTTTTTGAGCTTTAATTTTTCTTTTTCTTTTTGTTTTTTGAGCTTTTTCTTTTTGTTAGATAATTTATCTTAGATATTTACATTTTATTTTCAACGTATTTCAGTTAAACAAAATAATGTGTAAAAACAAAATGCTCTATGCGTGTTCAGGAATGGCGTTCAATCGCATTTCTTTAATATTTATTGGGCATGTCCGGGAAACTTAAGCCTTTATCGGACAAATTGTCCGATAGAAAAAAATTCGTTATTTCGAATTCTGTATATATATATATATATATATATATATATATATATATATATATATATATATATATATATATATATATATATATATATATATATATATCATGGCTTACTATAGTAACAGGCAAAAAAAATACAGCGATGTATCTACAATGTGTATACAATGTTATATGTATATATGATGTATGGATATATATACCATCTATTATATTACCTTGCAATATAAAGATAACATTAATTGTTGAAAATTGGCAAATGAATATATGCCACAACGATTACTTTCTGACAAAATAAAAACAGATAATTTGCTTTCAACAGCCCTAAGATTTTGAAGTACATTGAAAAGAATATTGTTGTAATACATTTAAATGTTGCATTATATACATTTATCACATAAATGAAACCTCTAAATCATTAGCAATGATACTAATAGTCAAACTTTTTTTTTTTTTTATAATTTAATGTTAATTTTTTGCAATATTTTCTGAATATTTATAAAAATGGTCCCACCTGATCTTTGTCGAAGTTTTTTTATATGCTATTTCAATAGTTTCAATAGGTAATGTCGGTATCCAAACATGTAATTAATAAACATAATTATAATCTTATAAATACATTTCAAGCATGTAATTAATAGACTTGTAATTAATAAACGTTTACTAGTTCAACATTCTACAACTTGTATCAGAAAAATTTAATTAAGTTTTTATTTTATGACCTTTTTTTCAGGAGCCATTATTTTGACTATATTTGTCAAATTTAAAAAGAAGTTCATTCATATATTATTGTTTGATGAAAAAACAACATGATTTCTACCTCTATTACAAATCTATTATATATAAAATGATTTAAAAAATTGGAATTGCTAAAAAATTTTAACAGAATTACATCCTTGATATGTTAACTACTTAACATAAATTTTATTTATTAGTAGAGTATACTGTCTTTGAGAACTAGAACATTTATCAAAATAAAACTTTTAAAAATCATTATCCCCAACAATTTCTAACTTTAAAAGTCAGTTTTGTCATCAGTGATATACTTGGTTTTGTCATCAGTGATATGCTTGGTTTTGTCATCAGTGATATACTTGGTTTTGTCATCAGTGGTATACTTGGTTTTTATCATCTGTGATATACTTGATTTTGTCATCAGTGATATACTTGGTTTTGTCATCAGTGATACACTTGGTTTTGTCATCAGTGATATATTTGGTTTTGTCATCAGTGACTCAGTTGTTCAAAGTTCTTATGTAATCAAGATTTCTTGACAATGAAACTCAAATGACAATTAATTAAGAGATAATATTTTTTTTTTATACAATATACATTTAGGATTTCATACTTAATTATTTGTAATTTTTTTGTAATCAATTGGTAAAGTATTTGGATAGTGTATTGCAGCATGGAGATAAATAATACATATAATAATATTCATATGTTTGTAAAAAAAATGTTTTATGGTGCACTTAACTTTATAGTGATAAATGATTATCTAAGGAAAATCATTTTTTAACGCTTTGGAACACCTAATGTCACCTAATGCAGTAAGATGTAAACATTTTTCATAGATATTTGTTATTATTAAAATAGACATAGTTTTAGGAAATTTTTTTTTTAAAAAAAAACCTTGGAAGAATGAAATATTATCTTTTTCCAAAAAATCCTTCATTTTATTAGGCACACTTGAATATGGTAATGATTTAGTAATTGGTCTTGGTGGTGCCTGTGGTGTTGGAATTTAAATTAAATTTACACAAGAAAATACAAATAATGGATGTTTTGGTTTTAACTTTCCGTAAACTAAAACTTTTTTTATAGTCTTTAAGACAATGATCTTTCAAATAAAAGTATTTTGGATGGAGTATTATGTTGGCTATCTGTAGTATTATGTCGAGATATAGCACTTCCATCTTTCCATATTATCGTGTTTATCTTTTTTGTTTATCCACATCTTTTTATTTGGAAGGCTACAGACTTTGTAACATCGTAGTTACCTCTGCATCTAATGGTGCAACACTTAAATCCATATTCTATCAATTTAATTATTTAGCTCCAAAAAGAAAGCAAAATTGTTGTGCATTAAAACTCATCAAATTAAAAGACCATGTTTTTTTTCTGCAATGCGCTATATTGCAAATTATTAATTTGAAGAAAATTATTAATTTATATTGCAAATTATTGATTTAATAAAAAAAAAACTTACCTACAGTTTTTTTTAAAGCCGTACATTTACTTGGTCTGTCATTATACTAGACAATGGTCTAAATCCAGTGCTGATGCTAATAGGTTTGTCGAAGGCTTTCTAAAGTAGAAGGCCCGCTCATGAGTAGAAAAAACTCTTGTGACGTCACTTTAGTAGTCCAACATTAATTTTTTTGACTTACTATTTGGTTCGAAATTTCTCAAGTTGTAAATATTTAAGATTAAGTTTTCATATTTTCAGATCAGTTTGTTACTAATTTAGTTTTTTTTATTGTTTTTAACAAAGTCTCTTGCTGAAAGAACAAAACTTTTATCAACGGTAAAATTTTCTTCTCAACTTGATTCAAGTAACTTAATCGATGTTGCAACTTAATTAGTTGCAGCACTAATTTGTAATTATATATTATTTCCTATTTATCAATTTTTTTACATAAAAATAATTATAAATAATCTATTTTTTTAACACTTCATAGGTTTCAAAATGCCTCGACACTGTTGTGTCCCTGGTTGTAGAGTTAACTATTTAGCATCAATCAATCATCTGTGTGAAAAAATTAGTGTTTTTAAATTTCCAACAAATCCAAAGATGATAGAATTATGGATTCGTCAAATTCCTCAAGAAAATTTTATTCCTTCAAATAAAATTGATGTGTGTGAAAATCATTTCATTCCTTCATTTATCGTATTGATACAATAAAACGAGATGATGGTTCTGTAATACATGTTGAGAGAAAAAGACCAAAGTTAACTCC